TTTCTTTACAATAGTACGGTTGGCTGATTCTATTTGGAGTACCGGAGATCTGAAAGTCTCCTCTCGAATGCTTCTCCTTAAATATCAAACCCTTCAGTTGTTGTTTAACAAATGTTGAATAGTTACTTTGCCAAATTGTGGGGGGCTTTAACACCGGTTCAGGGGTCACTATTTCAGGGCAGAAAATAATCGATTTGTGTACCAATCTCTTGATCCCTGTGCATGAGTGGTTTGATATAGAATGCATCCCCGTCTTTGGTACGACAGGGGGAAACCGGCCCGTGCGGCCATCACTGTGGTTAATGCCCATCCGTAGTGAAGCAAAGCGGTTACCTCCATTGGTGCAGAGCAAAGCCAGGACACTGCTCTCCACAGGTGATGCATGGCTGCCCTCTCTGCGGCTCCTCTGCAGGGTGCAGCTTTTGGAGAAACAGGAACAGGAGGTGACGGGTCGTGGTCGACAACAAACACTGCAAGTGGCTCAAACTGTCCTCTGCTATGTTCTAGTTACATCACCTGCGGTATCTTTAAAGAAACTAAATCGCTTTCTAAGCACCATAAAGAAAAAATTGTATGTGATGAACTTGTGTTATACGTGGAGTTCTTCAACAAAACATGCTGGCTCCTCATTAGTGGAATAAAAAATGGTTACACAAATAATGAATGAACAAAAGAGGTCCCTGGTTGACCTGGTCTTCAACGAGCAGTGAACAGGGATAAAATATGCCGCATCCGTTTTTTCTTTTCAATTAATTAAAGCAAATTGATGCATACAACAAACCTTTAACTTAGTTGTTTTCTTGCCTACATACCGATCTGCTGGAACTTCTCGTTTTAAAGCTGCAATTGAACATGACAGAGTGGTGACGGGTCGGTCCGCTACTGGCGAGAACAAATGGCGCACCGAGAAGGACCAGAGATCAGTGCGCAACTTGTCCAAACGCGCGCAGCCCAGCCGGCGGTGCTCGGTACTTTGCTGTTAACCTACTTCATTACCGACTGGAGCTGTTCCGGATTGCAGCTCCACCTATTTCCCCTCAGCCAATAGAAAAATAGCAAATGTACTTTTGAAAAAAAAGGGAAAACACACACTGTAATTGAACTGTGGAAAAAACTGATGCGGTAAATGCCAGAGTGGGCGCTTAGTGAGAAGACCTCTAGGAAAAGAACAGACCATGTAATCATTCAGGAAATGTGTTACGATTTCAAACACCCTATTTTCCCTTTAATCATTTTCTTATTATTCCTTATAATGCCAAGGCCACGAGGCCAATTTCATTGAGACAAAAGATTCAGTTAAATGGAAAAAAATACTGCTATTCTATTCACTGTTCCATTTCTAATGAATGCTGTTAGACCAATGCCAATACGTTTCATGCTGTCTTAGTGTCATTCATGTATGAAGACAAAAGAAAAGAAGTTGTGTCAGCAATCTGTTCCTGGCATCCAGCCACAGTATTGGGCCTACGTAAACTTTAAAGAGGAGGACAGAGCTGCACAATAGAGCAGAACCGTGAGCAGAATCTGTGACTCGAAAGGATAATATAGTTTAAGCACATCTTGTTTAAAGAACACCGGTGAGTCACAGCGCTTTCACACTGAGGCTGCGCTGCTGAAGCCTTTTTTTCTGGTGATGAATAGTGTGCACTTGCTGAAGAGGCAACTGTCAGACCACCGGTACATGCCAGATGGTTTCTTGTGAGATGAATAGAGGTTTTGATTTATTCTGTTTAAACAACTGTGTACTAGGAGATACTTGGAGTGTAGATAAAGGCAAGTATAGGCACGAGTGTCAATAACATGCAGAAAGAATGCTCTGATGTACCAGATATTAAAGTGTTTTTTAATACCTATCTTATTTATTCTGCAAATACAGAAAGGGTTTCTAGTCACGTAAACACAAAGCTTGAAATGACAATAAATCCTGGACTAAAGGAAGTTAAGAGGCGATGTGAAAGTCTCTCAGTGCCAACAATCTCCATTCTGCATCTTCTGGTACTTTCAATTGTATCATGTAATTTGTAAAAGGCAAATTGAAAAAAACACATTTGTGAGCACTGAGGTGCAGCAGAAACAACATTATTGAAACACATTATTGCTTCATACATTCACAAACAGTAAATAGTTGCTCATTTACACACCCACAGCAAAGTAGGCATTCACTACTTCACATGCAAGTAGTAATGTGTGGCATAGCTTACATGAAAATAAGCATTACGGCTGCTTTAAAACCACTATGGATCAGCTTAACTACTAACTATTGTCAAACCTATTCATGTGGTTCTTTAATAAGAATATTTTGGAATAAAATGTTTATCTTTCCCATCATATGAAAGAGGATGTTTTGGTATGAGAAGTGGATACAGTATTATCAGCCTCTATCTGTCAATCCATCAAAAGCACAAGGACAGTGCTTTGGAACAAGGAAAAAAAACAGTAAATACAGAAAGACAGTGGCAGGTGCTACAGTGTTAAAATGATTCTGTACGGAATTGAGTTGACACGGAGAAGAAGCAGGTTGTCATTCGATGGACCAGTAACCCTGAGACAGTGGCGGATAAAGTAAGAAAATATGTCTGTCAGACATCAGCAGTCAAGAGAGCAAAAATGACAGTGAGATAAAAAGAGAGGAGTGAACAGAAGATAACTGCAGCCGTTCCACATTCAGATAAACACATATTGATTCTGGTTATGCACATTTTTTGCTCATTGTTCATATGGGCATTAACTGTACAACTCTGAGCCGCGGTTCCAGGCCATCCTAGATTATCTTGAGGAATGATGATGATGATAATGATGGCAGAGGGAGCCAACCGGGGGGACTCATGTCTTTAAAACTTCCCCATTAACTATTAAGTTAAGAGCCTAAACACTTTTAGCAGATTCAAAAACAGATTGCACGCCATCAGGAGAAAATTCTCCTTTTTTGGTTGTGCAGTCCTCGGGATATTGTTTTTTTCCTTCCAGCATTGAGGAAAACCGCAATCTTCTTAATCTCGGATTTCTGATGCCATGCATTCTACCTCGCATTATCTCAAATATCTTGCCTGTGAACTGTCAGGGCTGATTTGGCTTCAACGGGCGGCTGCTTGCAAGGTGGCAGACACGACATTTAGAAGTGTCTAGAACAGCCTGAAGCCTCCAGCTGCTTAGGTCACTACTCTAATCCTTGTGGGAAGGACTGGGAGACTCTTTTCACAGATATGCACCTCTGAACTCGCTTCCTCACATTTAACAACATTTCAGAGACAACAGCCACCTCTCGAATTGTTTAAAGCATTCAGGAAAAATGGATTAAGCAACACTTTCTCTGCAAAGTTCACCCTCAACATGGAGAAGGAAACCCTGGACAACCACACAAACTCACGAGGATGTCAAATACACGCTAAGGGTACTTCTAAATCTATTCGACATGTACTTTCCTCCTTGACTCTCGCTGATTATGAGGCACTGATGATTCCAATCATAGTAGACAAAGTGCACTGACTCTCCCTCAGTAACTGCACTAAAAATCAGATGTGTCTGATTTTTTTCAAGCCATTGTACCCATTATACCTCGCAATGGAAAACATGAATACATCCTACAAGCTATGGTACATTTGAGTAAGTGCAGGTGCCACTTTTTGTTTTGATCAGATATGCAGCGGAAAACGTGGAGCGATACAGCGTCTAAAGCTCCAAGTCATTTATCTTTGTAATGTCAAACCCGCGTTCCGCATGAATGCAGGAAGTCATTATAACTTTCAATGGTGATGCAGCTTTTTGGAAGAAGTATGTTGTTTCTCTATAAAATATATCTGATGTAATATAAACCTGCTGACAAGTTGCAATCATCAAGCTACCCTATATAGAGGATGTCAAAGCTTTCATCTGTGAAAAGCACAGAGAGTCCTTCTACAAACTCTTTTTTCAAAAATAACTTGAGGTTAGGTTGAGTTTTGACAAGCCCTCCGCTAATCAAGCCTGCTTCTCTTATTAATCACAGAATTGAGTGATGGCTCCTATTCTGCTGAGCCTGATCTGAGCATGCCTAAACAGCATGAATTATAAATCATACAAGCATGCCATGTCATCTTCAACCCCGTTATCCCGTTGTTGTTTTGTCACAACGGTGCGGTTAAGCGAGTGCGATACCGCCCACACAAACTCACACTCCATCTCCCACTCACTCATCAACAAGACCTTGAGGTACTCGAGCTCCTTCACTTGAAGTAAGGACGCGTAAGCATGTCAGCATGGGTAAATTAGACTATCAGAGCACCTTCGATGCATATTCATTGTGCGGTGGAGTCAACTGTAGGATTTTATTCTCAACCTAAAATGACAAGAAGTTACTTTCAGTGAAACCAATATTTCACAGATAAAGCTGCACCAACTAACTTTTGTTGAACAGCGGCCGTTGCCGCCTCAACTGCAGAATGAAGCCCACAACGACAATAAGGCCGGAGAAAGGGAAGTTTTCTAACATACACCATAATCTACTGGTCCCACTAGATAAAATAGCTGCATTTACAGAGCTGAGGAAAGGTCTTTTATGCGAGGCAGAAGCCAAAGGTCGTTCCCTGTTTGTGTTTATGTATTGTGAAAAATGTTGTTTTGCTATGCAATTTTTTAAAATGATTTGGAAAGACCAGTGTTGACATCTGGTAGATGGCCTGATAATTCACTGCTATGCACATAGACAGTGTAGATTAGATCCAATAAACACACCTGTCAGGTCACAAGCCTGACTGTTATGATGTTGGACGGTGTGTAATCGTATAATAAAGCAGCAGCGCGATGGAGCGAAAGTTTTTTGATCAAATCATTAATGCAACCGTTGCAATGTTGTGGGATGAAGCTTCAACACAAAGTGGAGTAAAAGCAAAATATTAGTGTTAGCAGCACATAGGCGGGCGTGGAATATATAATTTATTTATTTCCTTCTTATAGTTGATTATTTGATCTTATAGATCTTTTCATATGGCAGCACTGAACTCGGGTTACACAATTTATCCAGATACAACATAAATAACTTTAATAATAATAATAAAATCACAAAACAGGAAATGTGTTGCCGGACATTTCAGTTTATGTCAATATGGAAAGGTAATTCATGGTCATTCATGGTCAAAGTGTATATACATTCACATAAAAATAAGGTCAAATAAATATTTGCATTTAAAATAAAGCATATCTAATGAACCTTTACTGTAAAACTTGAATGATACATTTTAAACACAATGAAAAAATATAATAAAATATCAAAATAATCCCTTCATTTATGACACCTGAGAACTATGGACCGAACCCAATTCTGACATTCAAAAAAACTGTTAGCAACATCACAAAATGTTTACTTTCCTGTGTCTATGGAAATCATTTGTTACAGGGACAGATTGACATTCCCTTTGGCTGAAGTGTGCACATTATCATGTACAGTAAGGCACTGAAATAGCATAATTTATGGCTTCTTAATCAGTTGTACATCAAGTATACGCCTGCATACCCAGCATACACATGGTTGAGGTTTGAAGAAAGGATATTCTTTTGTATTTTCTTCTATGTGGTCATGGGAAGAAAACACTTACAAAATTGAATACATCTGGTTAAAGAAATACAAAACATACATGTAGACAAAAAGTACCCTGATATTGTCACAAAAACCACACGTCAGAATGTTTTCAACAATAGCGTATCGGTAGGAACCGTTTGGATGGACTTAGAAAACAAAGGCGGAGGGAGGAATGTGAGGTACCAGGCGGCAATGGTTTACAGGCAGCATCTGGGCAGAAATCAGGCTGCAGGGCCCGTGGGCTCAGCAGTTTGAGAGGCGTCTCTGGGGCCAAAACAGTGCATTACCTCTCTGGAGTATCTACTGGAATTATATTGGCCTGAGGTCTTTCTTTCAAGTTCCTCCAGATAAGATAACCTGTCTGCCCGTGAAAGCTCAGGGCTAATGGCTCTCTCTGGTCACTGCTCGCTACCTGAGAGATATGCACCAACAGAGAGGAATTTGCTTTTCTCTGATGTCTAGCAGCGTAATCTCCACAGCTCCTGTAACACTTAGTGTGTTCCGCTGGGTTTGTGTTACTGGTGAGTTTGGCTGAACGTCTCACCTCTTTCCCAGCTCTGAATTGACGTTTCCCCCCAATTGGCTTTTCAAATCCTTTAAAACTACTTCAAATGACAGTAACGATACAGCTGTGCTCTCCACATGCAGGAGTTGTTGTCGGGGCAGCAACACCTGGCTGCGTGTCATAGTTTATTGCTCTTCTCCCTCCTGTCCAACCGGACCAAGACTTGCTGCTGGAGGGATGCAGGTGGGGCAGCCTGACCACATCATACTACCTGCTTTCTAATACGATTTTTATTTAACTATAATACCTGAAAAGTAGCGGGAAGAGCAGTGTGCTGGCGAGTGAGCCGCTGCATGTTTCAGACTGCCACAGAGTACAGCAACCCAGTGAGTGGACGTTCAGCAACAATTTCCTTTCGAAGTGGAAGGATCGCTGGACCTACTGGTAACATCTGAAAATGAACTAAACCGTCATGTTACCCAAAGGTACATGCTACATGTGTGTCATATTGTGTTGCCTGAAGGGATAAAGGTTGGAGACACCGCACTGAAAGATTGATATTATTGGAGTACATCAACTTAATGGATGGATCTAAACAAAGAAACACATGGCTGTAACACGCGCACTGTGGAGCGTCAGTCCTGCATTTTCCAAATGGCAAATATCCAAATTGGAAGGTACATTCTAGCAAATGATGGGATAAATGGCAGCTGTGCAACTGCTGTACAACAAAACCAGTTATATTACAACACAAAAATGAACAGAGAGAGTACAATAAATAAGACATTTTAACCTGCTATATACAATACTTACACATATTCATTTACACTATTATACACACATGTGAGTTAAAGATGAGGAGGGTCGTCTTGACACAATGAGATGAAGACGAGTGCTGAACATGAACGGAAATAGTTGCTGAGAAAAAACACATCAAAACTCAGTTAACCTAAACACACAAGTGAAGATGAAATGAAGACTACAGTTTCGTAATATGAAAAACCTGATATTTAGCCAGCTGGAGTTACACAGTATCAGTCCTTTTTAAGCATATGCGTCAGTTATCAGTTATATGTACATGATTTAAATGTTGGTTCTTTTAAAGATTAAAAGTATAAGCCTGGTTGATTTCTTTATTTACAAATATTACTGCTAGAGACTACCACTTAAGAGTATTAAAAATATGAACAACACACATATGTCAAGTTACATCTAATAGTCGTTCTTCTGTTTGGGAGTTTGGTTGCAGCAAGTTTAAGCTCATTATAACAGATTGTGACTTTTATAATTGAAATGCATGGTTGTCATGGTTATAATGCATCCCGCACCTGTTTGCTGGTATCAGATCTACTCCACAGTTACAGGCAGACTGGAGCCAGAGGACGGCGCACATTTACCGCAGTAGCCTCCGCACATTCCTGACACCCTGCTGCCATCCTGTGAACACGAGAGGAATAACATCAGCTGCTCTGCTGTGATATAATCGTGCCAATAAAGAATCTTACAAAATACATACATACAGTACATATTATATTTGTTTCAGGATCGCAGCTTGCATGCATTTTCCTGTGTACTGTGTCCATTTTTGGTTGAAGCCCTCATATGAACTGTCAGTGTAAAACATAAAACATCCCTTTGAAAGATTTTTTTTGTGCCAGGGTTGTTTAGTTGGCTCTAAAATTAGCTTTCTCTTTTCAAAAGGCACACAGAGACTGAGGTCCACCAGTTAGGTTGTCCCCATGATTACATTTGGCAATCACGACAGTTGGACGTTTGTCCAAACATCAAGAAACAAAAAGGAAAGCACCACGACACGAAAGCCACAGCGAGCAGAGAGCGGTTTGAGTGATCTCCAAGTCCCGCTCTTACAACCTGGCTTTACTTAAACAGCCTCTAGTGCACACGGCGCACCGGCTGACAATGGATGGATAGGAGACTTTTTAGCATTAAAACTGCCTCCTGTTTTCACCTTATCACAATGCTTCATTTCAGAAGGGGAATAGGAGGCGAGAGGGGCAGGAGGGGGCACTCGGAAAGCCTTTTCTATGTAACGCATTGCCAATACCTGTGATTTCCGTATATCAGCCACTGCATGGTTGCCCTGGGAAATCCACGAAGAGTCCTCAGCCACTTTAAAACCTGTTCCCGAGAGGTTGATCCTGAACCGCCCCTGAAAGAAGATACAGAGAGAAAGATCAAATGTAGTTCTGCCACAACAAAGAACTGAGCCATCGATTATGTTGTTGGTAACACCACCTAGTAAGACAAAGCCTACAGTCTGCAGCGGCGATGGTTTGATTAATTTCCACCCCGGTCATTTAATTAACAGCTGCTGTTGCTCTCACCTGTGGACAAGGCGCGGCGCTGTAGCAGTCTCCGGCAGTAGCAAATGGAACACTCTTCCCCTCCACGGTGACGGCGAACCGCCAATCTGTAGCTAAGTAACAAGATGAACCAATCAAGCACCATGTGACAAATATCGCGCTCGGACCTGAACTTTTATAACTAGAAACAAACATCAGTCATCTTAACTTGTGTTCTTTAACTGGTGTAAATCAGGCCTTAGTTTTGGGGTCAGCCTAATGGCAATATCAGTATAATTTCATCCACTTACAGCAGTCCTGTTTAATTCCCTCAAGCCTTGTAATCTTGACATCTTGAGCCCATTTAACCCCTGTCCGCATGGACATAATTAAACAGTAAAGGAAGTTCTTATTTGAGAGTAATGTAGAGTTACCGCTGGCACAGGATGCTGCTGTATCCTTTGTTTATGTGTGTGTGTGTGTGTGTGCGTGCGTGTGTGAGAAAGCCACTCACTAATGATGTTCATCTTGCTGAGGTCCAGGCGGACTTTGGAGAAGGTGGAGAAGCCGGCGGCGGTGTAGTCTCGCCGACAGTCACAGTCCTCTCTTCTGGAGTCGTTGGCTGGACACTGGGTGGGGTCATTGAGTCTAGGAAACACACACAAACACACACAAAAATACCTTCGCTCAACAACGACGCTACTGAGGAATTTCTTCATTTACAGACCAAAAGAAACACTGCCAGAAGTCAGCTGGATGTTTATAATGAAAGAGACTATTCCCGTTGTTATCCTGGGGGCTGTTTACCTGAAGCCAAAGATCTCTGAAAAGTTCTCCCCGTCTCCCGTTGTCAAGGTGATGTACTCCTGTGGAGTCTCTGTCTGCATTCCTGCACAGTAGACCTGAGGTGAAAGAGTGCGGAGAAGGTGGAGGACAGGGAGAGGTTGTGTCCAGAGAGAGGATAAGTAAATGGTAAATGGCCTGTACTTGTATAGCGCTTTTCTAGTCTTCTGACCACTCAAAGCGCTTTTAACACTACACGACATCATTCACCCATTCACACCCATTCATACACTGATGACAGGAGAACCATACACAGTGACACCTGCCATCAGTAACTACCATTCACACACTGTAGTCGCAGCTACAGGAGCAATGTTGGGTTAAGTGTCTTGCCCAAGGACACAACGACATGCGGGTTAGCCGGGCCTGGGATCAAACCCACAACCCTCTGATTGGAGGACGACCGTGCTCCCCACTCACCCACAGTCGCCCTTGATAAGTAAGAAACCAATGGGGTGGAGGCGGTGGGATGTTAAAGAAACAACAGAAATGAAGATTAGAAATGCAGATTAGAAACGGGAAGAAAAATGTCAGTGAGGAGCGGAGGAAACGGAATAGAATAGAAGACATAAAACCGGATGTCTTCTTTGTGCCCTAATGAGGTCAATTTAAATTTAATCTTACCTTGAGTGCCTTTCCTTGAATATTGACAAAGTGTTCGTTGTCTGGGAGCGGGCCATTCATCCTCTGGACTTCTTGACAGCTAGAAGGAAAATGGCCTTGGAGACACAAAAGAGGTAGAAAAGAAACAGGTTCATTATGCCAGCAATTCAATTAGAACAGCAAGTTGGGGTTTATGCACACGTGTGCAGTGTACAAACACACATTTACTCACTCAGTGATCTCAACCAAAGTGCAGTAAAGACAGTGAATCTTAACTGATCGCCTCGCAAAATGAATATTTCACTACAGGCCGAGATGATGAAGACGAGCCATGCTGAATAATGGGTACATTCAGGGAGCCCGTTAGCCTCGCAGTACTCACAGTTTGGGTTTCTGCAGACTTCTCTGGTCTCTGGCATTGTGTCTCGAGAACACCTGTTTCTTGGCCGACCATCTGCTGGCCAACACTGCACCGTCCTCTCCATCACTCCGTCCCCACAGCTCACTGAACACTGAAGGGCAGGAGGAGAACCACATCACACTTGTGGAGGACAGTCGTTCAATCCCAGCCAACTTTGGGTGAGAGGCCGAGGTAAACTCTGGATTGGTCGCCAGCCAAACGCAGGGAGATGGTCTCTTCATTTCATTTTGATAAATATTATAATATATAACTACATGCACTATGTAACTGCCAATACAATTAGTTAGAATTAGTCACAATTACACTAAGAAGTGTTTGTCTGACTTCCGTTTATTATAGTGGCATCCGACCACACACGTGCATGCTCGGCCTTGACGTCACACTGATGTCCATGACTGGACAACATTAAGAATATGGACTCGCTCACCGGTCCCCAGATTCCAACCTTCCACTCCTGTGGCGCCGGGCACGGGTCCAGATTACAAGGCATGTAGATCTCGGGGGGGGTCCCTTGGCAGTTAGACAAGGACTGATGGCCATACTCATAGTTGTCATTCTCCACAGGCACCTCGCTGCAGGAGATCGGACGCTGGCGGTAGCCCTGTCCACAGCTGGCTGAGCACTGGAGGAGAGGAGAAATCACCGGCAGGAAATAACAACTGTACTTCACGCAGGAAACGCGGGAGATTTCACGTGTACAATCTTTTTCAAAGAGTAACGCGTTTACTGTGCATAGGAAACAATTGAGATCTCAAAGGTCTGTGGTGGGAATACGTCACTGCTTCTCTGGTTCTCACCTCCGTCCATTCCCCAGTGATCCAGGTCGATTCACAGGAGTGGGTGTTACAGCTCTCCAGGTCTGGAGGTCTGATCTGGTTCACGCAGTACATCTCATGGACCTGCTGCTGGTTGTGGTCCACACACTGCAAGGCCCGTCGCCGGTGACCCGCTCCACACGACTTGCTGCACTGTAACGGACACAAGAAAACGGCAAATGGAAAATCTTGCTGAATGGTGTTAGACAAAGCATTACGACATAATAGAATGGACCCAACTACTGTATTCACTTCTATCCAGCAGCAAACAGGGGGAAGGGACGCTGAGGTTTGAGATCTGTGTCTTTGTGTGAAGCAGTCCATTCGCCCCGTAGCACTACAGTGTAAAGATGTCAAAACAGGTTTGTCCCATTTAAAGTAAAATATAAGATAAAGCCGTTTTCGACTTACGAGTTTACGCTCTTTTACAGTGAGATTTAATTTCAGTTGTTCTTATTTCCACGTCGTCGTCCACCCTTCTGCTTGCAACAACCAAAAAATGCTTAACTCGAGGCTCCAAAGATCTGCAGTCCACAAACCAACAGGTGACATCACTGTAAACTGTAAACGTTTCTTATAAACAATCTAAGGATTGACTCCACAGTGAGAAGAGCGTATCCAACATTAGAGGCATGTCACGTCGTGCACGTGAGCTGTTGTAATCACTGCCAGCTGCTAATTGGAACACCCAGGCAGAGAGCTCCAAACACCTCCCCAGATGAATCAGACTCTGCTTCTCGAGGACACTATTCATGCAGCTCAGTGACCCGGATCCCTTGAACACAAGGAAAACGTCCTGCTGCAGCTGCATGTACTAATATTCCCAACTCTCAACAAGGATCTACTATTGGAAATAGCTCAACGTTGGTCAGCAGGTATTTGTCCATCATAATTAAAACTGCAAGACTCTTTACCTTTGAGTGGGGTGCAGATAATAGATAGATTACAATACTATACACATTTTCAAAATCAATTAGGTATTAAGAAAATTTAAATGAAACAAAAGTCCTACACGGCTGTACTCTGTTTCACTGGACCACTTCACACAAGTCGGATGGTTTTATAATGCAGTTATTTCTTGTGAGAGATTGATCTCTCTTGCAAAGTTGGCAGAAAGCAGTGTGTGTTCATGTGTTTGACAGGTCGAAGGTCAGTAGATGTTTAGATTACAGTGGTGCGTTTGTTTACTCTTAGCCTACTTACATTCACTTTTTAGATGTTTAAACTATCTCTAAAAACGAAGAAGAAGCTAACTTGCCAATTGGCGTTTTGTCAGGAATGAACCCTTTCACACAGGAGCCTCGGGCTGCCTGAAAGAATCGTCTGATTTAGGGGCCATGTAGCAGCAGCTCCTCTCCTCCCCTCCTCTCCTCCGCTCCTCTCCTCTCCTCCCCTCCTCCCTTGTGGCCTCCTGACTCATTAGACATGACTGAGCAGATTCATCCCCGCCCGGCGGAGACGGAGGACCCGGGTTTTTTTCTCTCCGTAGCACGCGGGTCGCCGCAGCTTACCGTCCGCCAGTCTCCTTCTCTCCATTGGGACCGACGAGAGGGGCATTCGGCCACCCGGCAGCTGCGGCTGGACGCCGGTCGGGAGCGCTGGGGACAGCCGGCCTCCGGCGGGATCCGGCGGCCTCCGGCCGGGCAGAGCACCTCGCGGCGCTGCAGGCCGTCGCCGCACGACGCCGAACACTGCACGCAGGTCAGATGAGTACTAATATAACAATATATAAAGTACTAACCGGCTCAGTGAGAGTTTATTGTTTCACTGCATATCAGATGATCGACTTATACTCATGTTTATCGAGATATATCCTCGTGAGCTCCACTAGTGAAAGTTATTTCTCATTTGTTGGATAGCAATAGGATATTATGTGTAAGGAAATTGACAATAGTATCTGTAAGGAAATAAATTGGAAAGTATTGTGGCTATTGATATAAGTTCCTTAATCGTTGTTTCGGTCTAGGTGTGGCTAATATGGAAATGGATGTTTTAATGTTTTAATTTTCTAAGAATTAGACATTGGTATTCTAACTCATATTGAAGTGACATAATTCATTACACAGGATTATCAGGGAAATAATGTTACGACTAAATAGCTGCAGCAACACCCGCATGTTCCTATTTAAGGTGTTTGTAACTGATGTTTCTCTTTTTTTATTTTACAGAAATGGGAAGTATTCAAGAGCAAACCTGAGAAGTGGATGGTTTTGTGTTTTCATACATTTCCGCAGAAAAACACAAAGAATGATAATCTGCTTGGTTTTTCTATTCCATTGACCAAATGACCAGGAACAAAGTCACGTTTTATAAGCAATGACGTCCTCTCATTTCTCATCTCATCTTCAACCGCATGTCTTGTCGCAGGGATATTTCAACATTTTCCTTTTGCTGCTTAATACTTTGTTTTCATGAATTTGGAGGCAACATTTAACTGTAACTGTTTTGTGTCTCCTTTCAAGGGATGATCCTGAGCAACCTAGTTGTTTTCGTGGGGCTAATGCATGGCATGCTATGTACTGATGTCAACTGATACCTTGTTTTAGGAGGGTCCTTTTGCGGGTGGAATCACAATCTTTGAGTTTCTGGTTATTTGTACATGACTGAGAACAGCATCAAATGTGGTCATATGTTTTGCAGGTTATGGGAGCAACAAGTGATGAACATATGATCAAAGATTGAGCTGAGGTTCCTGAGTTTATACAATTACAGTATCTAGATATACCGACATGTCCATTCGTATGTGACGCAACAAAACGTATTTCATTGTGTATTATTTGTCGTTGAACCACTACGCTGCGTGCTTCATCCTGGCTAACCACGCTTCACTGTGTGGAGCAATGCTCTGTGCTGCCCTGCAGCTGTTTAGAGCCAGCGCACATCCTCTTTGACGTGTGTCAGATGTGGTTCTGTGCTTGGACTCTTTGGCCTGTGGCGTCAGTTCAGAGAAAGAGGATCGGAAAAAGACAGCGTGAAAAAAAAAAAAACGAGCAAGAGAGAAGAAAAAGTGGAGAGGCTCCAGACTCCAGGTGCACATTGTGAGTGCGTCTGGCATGTTTAGTGGGGCATTCAAGGAAAAACACTAACATGTGGTTCCCATTGGGGAGGCACAAGATGGAGGGTAAAGTGAAGCAATCTGAAAGGTGAGCAGTGGGAAATGCAACAGTTAAAGGGAGGATAAAGGGAGAGGAGTGCACCTCCATCCTGCTTTCAAACTTCAAAACTGTGAAGTCCCCAGCATGCACCACCTCAAAACAGCTGCCCGGGGTCTGTGCTGAAAACCACCATGCGGTGTGTAAAAGCACGCTGCCTTAGTTAGCGGCCTGGCATGCTGCATAAAAACAGTCAGGCTTGCTGCAGATGTCTGCAGCAAGCTGGTAAGTGTTGAAGTGGAAAGAGAGAGCTTACATGTGTGGTGGCGTGAGAACCAGAGTGGTGGAGGTGTTTTTTGTTATTGCACAGTCAAAGAGTCCTAACCTCTCCCCAGTTGCCAGTCTTCCACTTGGGACATCGGCCCCCTTTGCAGCGCTTCTGCCTGCGGGGTTTAGGAGACAGATGCTGGCAGTTTTCCTCTGGGACGGGGCGGCCTGACCCGCTCGCACAGACCACCTTACGCGACTTGAACCCTCTTCCACAGGAGGCAGAGCACTGCAAGATGTCAAAGGACAAAAACAAGTGGAATTGAAATCAAAAGGTATGTTTTGTGTTTAAAGAGCAACTGCAAAAAAGGTGCACACGTCATCGCAGTGAAATTCAGTTTTTTTGGTGAAATTGCATTACTGAGATATAGAAGACAAATAACTGGAAAGAAGTCTGATTAAATAAATCATAATCTGCATGGGTAAATTAATAAACACGTGGCTTGTTTTTGACAAAAAACAGTCCCCGCCCCAAAGAAATTGATAGGAGCTCGAGTTGCACGTGGTTAACTAGTCCAATAGCAAAGCGTCCTCATCAACCCGGCAGAAGTTTGTTTCACTTCCGGGTTTACAGAACTACTGGGAGTTTAACCTGGTGTGACAAGCAGCCCCGCACACACACACACACACACACACACACACACATACTGTAATGTTACAAGGGCTGGGCTGTGCTTGGATGATCCCAGGGGGCGTTGCATGTGAGGATGGATGGGAAGCAACAGGCTCCGAGTTGAATGAGTAAGCGGCGCAGTGTGTGCTGCTGTCCTGACCAGCGAGGGACTGTATGCTGCGACCTCTCACCTCATTCAGGGGGGAGGAAGGCTCACGAGAGGAGGGGTTATTAACATTCTTGTTCCCCATTGTTAAATATGGGCAACCCAAACATTTCCAATTCCGTTGGAAGAAATAAAGTAAGAGTCCAATCAATTGTGTCCGTTATATGTGGATAATAACTGACGTTTTGGAGAGCACTTCCCATGTTGAATCACAGCACACCAGTAGATGGATGTAACAAGTTACTGACAGCTCTCCTGTACCTGACCGAGATTCTATTTTTAATGTTATCGGCTGAAATTAACCTAATATAAGGTCACATATATACGTAAAATGAACTGGGGAGTGTAAGTAGGAGAAGCTAGAAGGTCCAAGTCATCATTTGCATCTGTCTCCCAGACTGTTATGTTCAAACACCAAGTCATTCCTCACAAAGGTTTATGTACTTTTTTGACGAGGGCTTTCCCGCTGTTCAGAATTCCTTTAGAATCAGAACAAAGTTCAAGTGAAACCCCCGTGTATCAGTACACGATCCCCCTATGCAGTACACACCCGCAATTCCCCACAAATGAGCATTTTCTGCTTCATCGTCAAACAATCATCATGTTTTATTTTGCACAGGGTAGAGCAGGTGATCCTTTTATCACAGGGTTTGTAGTTTGTAGTATCAAACCAGTTTCCAAGAAGTCCGTGCTGATGCGATGATCCGGGATGGGGCCCCTCCCGAGATCAAACACGACCCATGACCCAAACAGTTCACCACTGCATTGTCTCGCTGACGGGTCCCTTCATTCGAGTCACTGTCACTGCCCCCTCCCCCTTTCCCTCCCCCCGTCCCCTCCCATGTCGGCACACTGTCATCAACTTGCATTCGGCCAGAGTAGAGGGGCCTGACAGAGGGGCGAAGGGCACTGCAGCTTCACAGCGAAGCACCATGCGCCCCCGAAAAAGAAAAAAAAAAAGCCGGGGTAGGCATTCAGAGTGCACGAACACAGTAAATGAAGTGGGAGGTAAACTACGGCACTGTCACCCATTGGAAGAAGATTTACATTGATGGGCCGGGCTTTGAACTTCTGACACTGACAATAAAAGAGGTCAGCAGAGGCCCTGACCGCTTGAAATAACATGGATATTGCTCAGTGATTTGTGCGTTTTCATTCAGGAAAAACACCCAGTTGAATGGACGGGCGGGGGGGATGGGGACAGGGAGGGGGGCCGCTTGGCCTGTCTTTTTTTAAATCTTTTTGATGAAGTTAAAGGTAAAACACTGAATAACACAGGACACCTTCTTATCCACAAACACTGTAATTGCCATAAAGCAGGAGCCGTTAATCTTGAGGTAAATGCTTGGCAGCAGGATTACGATGATGCAAGCAGTAAAGCTACTGGCGTAATGAATGCTGCTCGAGGTTGGTACTTGCTTCAGTTTTTTTTTTCTGTTTTTGTACAATCAGTCCGTGTAGATTGCAAGTGCGTTATTCCCTTTACGTTGTTTGCAGTGAGCACACTGCATGGCAAAAACATGTTGATAATGCTTTTGATTCAAGCCCAAAACATGATTGTTCCACATTTACAGTGTAAATTGTATACTAGTACATTATATGTTGATACAAGTGAACGAGACAGTAAGTTAAGGCAAATCAAGACATCACAATCTGGGAACTTATGAAAGTAGAAACGTATTTTCTTGTGGTATTATGGCAGGTCAGTTTAGTGTAAATAGTTTTAAGTTAGTATTACTGTGGACCCACATATGTAATTTGTGCTGTAAGGTCGATTTTTAAACAGGTCCCAGTAGATTCACAGGCTACCACGTAACTCAGCACTATTCATGGTGGAATAATTATCCAGGATTACACCACTTGTTTCCTATTGTCAAATCTTGCTCCCTGTAATGGTACAGGGTTTTTTAGAAACGATTACACCATAAACTGTGAATATCTACGCTGTATGTTGCAATCTAAAGCATTAGCAAAATATATATCTATGATAAGAATGAAAAAAGCCTTTGATAGTACCTCTATTTCACTTTAATCGTAACCTTTTCTGGAAATGAACAGAAATTCAACAAATCCATAAAAAAAATTAAATATTGACATAACATTATATGAAGTAACAATAAATACATGTAATTACATAAATATACATAAATCTGCTTGAAAGACAAACTAATACTGCCATTTGTGAATAAGAGACATACAATATTCTTATTTTAAGAGCCTGTTGTTCGGTGTTTCTGTACTGCTGTCTGCACCAAGACGTTGACCACATGGAGTCAAACCAGGGGAGAAAAAAATCAAACTAAAGAGCAGAGAGATGTGCTGTGTGTACTTTCACTGCTGCCTTACAATCACACACATGGGAGTAATTATAAGCCATTGTTCTCACTAGTAGAATAGGTGTAGTAAAAGAAATAAAAGGTACTCACTGCTGTGTTAACAGGCCCTTAAAATAAGGTGTAATGTCAGTACAGACATTTACGACCAGTAGGAGTCAAACTGGGTGGGCTGCAGGCAGAAGTTACCCTTAAACCACAGATTCGGGATCAGTCTTCACTCAACCGGGTAGTTAAGTGTTGCAAGGTGGCAGAGGACACACACACCCCGGATCTGTGTTTGGGTACATCAACTGGACTGGCTGGTCGCAAACGACTCTTGCTTAACCGCAGCCAGCCACAATCCCTCCAGTGCAAGAGAGAGTAACATACGGGCAGGGGGGCAATCATAACAAAGACTGAGGTAGACACATTGGGTTGGCTCCGAGTAAGAGCGGTGGATACAAAACACTATTAACTTCCCCTGTGGTCACAGATACGACGTGTTCAAAGAACAACATTTGAACAACTCGTTCCCCTAAAAGGTTGAGCAGGTTGACATTCGAACAATTCAGCATTGATTCAATAAATCCGTGATACACTTTAATTAATCCATCAACTGCTCATGGAAAGAAATAAAGAGTACAGAAAAATGCAGCAGCATCAAATAGTAACTTGCCGAGAAAAAACACCTAACCGACCAAAAATATGATGCTTCATTTCCGATGATCCTATATCTCCCTTGTTTGGGCCAAAGCGCCGCTGTAGAGTAGGTTGGTTTAATGGCTAGTGGAGTCGTGTTCTGTTCCAGATGAGGTATTGTTGAGCATAGCATGTTTAGCAACTCTTAGTACTTACTGTACAAAGATAACATTAACTAACATAATATAAATACACTCATATCAAGCACCTTTGAAGCAGAGAGCTTTGAACCTGTTGTTTTGGCCACACTAAGGAAATCTGGGTCAAAACCCTCTGCCAAACTGGAATACAATGGCTATTAGTACTAATTACCACAAACTCAGTGAGACATTTTATTTTACAGTGCTGCTGGCTGCTGTTAGCTGTTGATACTGGACGTTTCAGGAACTTTTGAGTAACCGTATTCACGCGTTCATGTTGTTTTGGGGCAACGTAATAGCGAAGGGTAAATACATAAACTGTAAAATAAAGTGTCTAAATAATATTAGTAGCTTCTCTAAAAAAAACACATGTGCCTTGAGACAAATTGAATTCTTGATACAACAGCCATTTCAAAGATGTATAGTACAAAGATGTATATATAGTACACAGCCCAAATACCGTCCTATGTAAGGTGGTGCTTTTACAGTTTATAACAGAACACAGACTACATTGTGTAGCACCACATATTTGGATGTTATGGGCCATTCTTTGGATAATAAAAGAACAAGGCAACGTACTGTATATTCCTGATATACAAAAACATTCATCAGTATTTGCATATGAACAAAGATTGGCTAAATGTGTGAATACAAAGAGCTTAGACACAAAATAAATCACCTTTAAAAGTTAATGCTATATACAAAAGATAAAAAGGAAAAAAATATCTTAATAAATTATCTTTAAAAACAATATATTACAAAACTATCTTGATTGTGATACAAAGTGAACCTGAATTTTTCTATATACTATTACAAGGCTCAACAACAAATGATGGTAACTGGGACTGATGGAAATGTCCTTGTGGTCGCAGCTGTCATTAGAGTATTTTTACTCTAAGCGCAACAGAAATGTAGTTTTCCGAATGTCTTGAAGAAACGTTGACCAATCGCAGGCACCAGAGAGGGAGCGGTAAGTGGAGGAGGTTAAAGGTAAGAGTGAAGAAGCAGGAGTGTAATTCTTCCAGGGAAAGAAGCACAAAAGTCTGTTCGAGACTGATTTTTTTTAAAAGAGTAAGAATACAGGCAAAAAAAACGAGAGGTTGAAACAACAAGGCATAGAGTGTTTTTTTATGAGCGTACCGAGCTCCATGGGTCTGTGCTCCAGTTGGGGCTAGACGGGCACGGCTGAGTATTGCACTGCTCGCGATCCGGCGGCTTGTCGTGAATCTCGCAGCTCAGGTCGTTGAAGCGCTCGCCGTTTGGACGCTGGCACACCACCAGCCTCGTCTTTATCCCGCCTCCACATGGCTTGGTGCACTGATAGAAGGCAGGGGGAGAGAGGGGGGAGGGGGGTGTTTTACAGCATAGGTATGGGTCGAAAGGTTTTTGAATATGAAGGAAAAAAACAACGGCCGTTTAAAAAAACCTCTTCAATGCGACGCAATGAAAGGAATCAAACACAGATGAACATCTGCGGCTCCATCCCGGTTCGCGAACAACACTCGAGTTTTGCGGTTTAGACCAGTGTCTGGTAAAGGAAACGTGGCAAGCTTTAAAGAACAGTGGAGTAGCGTCTCTCTTACCTCCCCCCAGTTGCCATAGATCCATTGCGGACACGGCCCTGACTCACACGAGCGCTGCTCGTTGGGCCGGCTGCGATCCTCACAGCTGTTGGCGGGGTAGCCGTTCTCGTCCTGGCACACTACTACGCGCCGCTGGAAACCTCCTGCACACGTGCTGGAGCACTGTTGGACACAGAGGGGAGAGTGCGCCGTGTCATATAGATGCCTCACACTAATAGGTGTAAATAAGTCCCATATGGGTGATATAATGCTCTTAATCACGAGACGTGATGACATACAAACACACACAAGCAATATTTCTGTATGTATGAGTTTGTTATTGCAAATAGTACATGTAATAAATCATCATTATGAGGCTTATATCGTGGGACCACAAAGGCCCCATTCTCAAGTTAAGAAAAGGGCCTGAGCTGGATTTCATGTACAATTAATGGCCGCGTCACCGGCTTTATCCTCAGGACGGAGGCAGGAAGACGCACCAGAAATAGCTTCAATGTCTTCCCAGAATTATAGTAAGGTCAAAGGTATTTTTGGATAGAAAGTATCACCAACAGTAATAAAAACAATACAAAGAAGTAGATCCATCGTGGGCAGCCTGTGGCTCTCGGATCCGTTTAAGCCTTGTCTTAAAAGAAAAGAGAGCAGGGCCTGACGACCTGACTCCCATGTCATGAGCTTTTGTTTGTTCTGTTACAAAATGCGTGGCAGGGAGTAATTCATTAGTTTACGAACTATTATTGGCAATAGTAAACGGACACACACATGGCAACGGACCACTGGTGAATTGACACTCCTTCACGGATCAGAACAACAGCTTCTGGAGCAATTTGGGGTTCACCCGGGATTGGAAATAGTTTACGTTCGAATTATGTTGAAATTCAAAAAAGAAGGTTCAATGTATTTTAAGTATGTACGTTTTTGTAACTGTTTGGTATCGGTGATACATACAAGGAGTGTGATAATGAAAATGTTGTGACAAGACGATGACAGCTCTGACCACTAGGCCACTTTGTATGATGATTCATGTACGTATTTCTGTGATGTAGTTCTATCCCACTCTCGTGTCTGTATGGAAGCAGGTTCTTTTAGCTTATTACAACAGTTAGCTTGTCCAAAGTGACTAAATCGACTAACAAGAACATGCAGAGCTCACAAATTAATCTGATTGTCAATATCTTATCTACTTAATCTAATACCTGTAGCATCATATCAACTGTACAAACATGACAGCGGCATCTAGCTTCTCATCCAACTCTTGGCAACAGAAAAAAAGGGAATTAGCACATTTTCCCAAAACAGTTTTTTTACATATCACATCTTCTTACATGCCAGGATCTTCTCTGGACTTCAATTGTTATGTTCCAGGGTTTGCTTGAACACGACTAAGTACAGCATTTTAGATGTCAGGCCCCAGATGATTGGTTTGTTGACCTCTTGCGATGCGATGTTGCTGTGTGTGAAATGCCTTACCGCGCCCCAGGGTCCAGTCCGCCATTGGTGGGATTGGCTGCGTGGCAGGTTGTTCCTGGTGCTGCCATTCGGTGAGGACGGGTAAGGTCGAGATTCACTGGAGCGGGACAGGCATTGAGACATAGCACAGTCCTGCTCTATGGGAGGACGATCGTCTGGGTCACACTCACTAGTATTCACTTCTTGGTCACTGAAGTTGATACACACTACCTGCCGTGTGGTCTTTCCCTGACCACAGGTAACTGAGCACTAAAAACACACACACACACACACACACACACCAAGAACAATAACAAAATTACACATTGGAGTGTCACTGCAGGACAAAGAAGGCTATTTGGCTTTGGGTAACTAAATCTGGAATAGGCCTGTGAAAAAAACTTCATTTGGCAAGTGGATGAATTATTTCCTGTTCGGGGGGTCAATGAGTGTCTTTGGCGTGGTGGTAAATATGTGTGTGTTAGTGTGTGTGTGTGTGTGTGTGGGTGTGTGTGTGTGTGTGTATGGTGAGCAGACTTGCAGTCTGGCTCCACTGCATCTCTCTCTGACTGATGAGAAACATCTGTAAACAAGACACGATTCCCTCATTCCAGCCCCTCGGTTCCCCCTGTTACAGAAACCTTTGCCTCAATGAAATTATCTCACTCTCACTCTCATTCACTCTCACACACACACAGACACACACACAATCTCATTTCTTCTCTAGGCTTATTCCGTCCCACCTCCAGGCCTTGATACACACTTTCCAGTTCCAGCCCTTTCTCCCCATCTTTGCTCACAATCATCCACATAATGTGTGCTGGCACTGGTTGTCCATATGGATGGAGAAAAATGTGGAGTGTATTGAAATAGGATAAGAAAAAAACATCAGAGCGCAATGACGGCACACAATCTGTACTAATCAAAAGTGTTGTCTATCAGCATAAAATTATTTAGAACAGCTAGAAAAACATCCTTCCAGATGTCTACATATCCGGGTCCACGACAACATTTGGTGAGCTCATGTGAATTTAGCTGCAGCAACATTAAACTGTAATTTACTGTGAGAGTTACAGTTGAATACATGATCACAGGTGGTTTTCTTACCGCTGTCCATTCCAGCACTTTCCACTGTCCACAGGCCACCACCGAGCACACCTCTCTGGCAGGGGGTTTCGGTAGGTGGGCACACGCCGACTCCTCTGCTACACCGCCCTGGTTGTCACGACAACTCACGTAGCGCATTCGTGTCCCTTTGCCACAGCTGGCGCTACACTGTTGTGGACGGGGAGATAAGGTTTAAAAAGTCGTAAACCAACAAAAAGAAAGATATTGAAGATGTGACAAAACCACCCACCGGGGTCCAAGAGCCAAACCTCCATTGGGTTTTGAGGCCCTGGTGGGGAGGGACAGCGCGCTCGCTTGGACACTGGGCCAGTTCACAGTCCTGTTGAAGGAGGGACACATGCACCACATTCATGCGGTGGTTAACAAAATGAATATACTGTAACAACATCTGTCCCCGGCCACAAAATACCATGAATGTCAGAGATATCTCATCTGGCGTGCGATTAAACAGTCAGTAAAGAAAAGTCTTCCGTTCAGCCCTTAAGAGTAGCTGTGTTTCCCATCAACCCTTTCGTCCCACCTTACCAAAACAACATTAACAGGGTCCGCACCGTCAGTTAAAACTATGGATGGTGGCAGTAAGCCACTCAGCATAAAGCCCTGATCCCTGTCATAACAGGTCATAGTGGAGTGGTATTCAGGGCTCCAATGCCCACGCTGGCGTGGTTGTAAACTCCACCCCTAATCCACCCCCTTGTCCCTCACCTCCGGCCCTTTCCTCTTCCCCCCCCCCCACCATGCCCTCCGGTGCCCTCTGACCCCAAATCTCTAGGAATGACAGCTTTAGTCAGGTCGCATAGGCCCCGAGCAGGCTCCACATTCCACAAGGCACCTCCGGACGTAGGCAAACAGCGTTTAGAGAAGCTCTACCAACACCTCCTGTGTTAAATATCATTTGGAGAGATCAACGGATAGTGTGTATGCGGGTATATTACAGCTTTAGGACTTTTATGGATGATTTTCTATTACACAGTCATCCTTTTTCCAATCTGTGCACAAGCATCGAGTGCAGCATCACTCGCTTCCAACTCTGTGCTCCTTGTGCTCAGACCGCCCTCCATCCATCCACGCTTCTTTTTCTAAGCCCTGCTTGGTGGCTGGCGGGACTGGCGGCTGGTGGCCCACCTCATGGCTGGCTGGTTTATAATCACAGCGAGTTTGCGCGTCTGCTTCAGGGTCACTGGCTCTGTTGGCCCAGGCACCGGAATTAAGAGTCGACCACAAGGGGGGCAGGGGGGCTTCACACTGAGCCTGCATGCTCGTCTTCTAACTATAAACCTAAACCTAAGCACTTTCACCGCTAGAGGACATTTTTCATAGTCTGCTTGACATATTAGTAATTTGAAGAACATCCATTAAATGAATTACAAACTATGTAGGTGTGCAGTTAAAGTCAAGTGAAGGCATTGGCAAGATTTACAATTTTATTAAATAGACAAACTGGCAAATGTACTCGGCCAGTCGTCATTTAAATAATGAAGTATTCTTATCCCAAAACAATTTGGCTTTCCTTTGTGGAGAGTTTGCGTGTCTCTATTTAAGCGATAGTGAGTCCTGTGTAACCTCCCCCTCTGTTCTTGCCTCTAGACTAGATCAGAAAACATAGCTTTATTGAGACCAGGTGGAAATGAAATGTGTGTGTGTGAGTGTATGTCTGTGTGTATTTTAAGGGGGCAGGAACGAGGATCCCCCCCCCCCCCCCTCTCTCCTCACAGTATGAACAAACCCACAGTGAGGAACAGATGAAGAGATTTTGTGCATTTAAGAGAAGTAAAGTGAAGATGTAAGAAAACATACACGGAAAGAAGGAAGCTAAAGGCCTCTTTACCTGCGTGTCGGTGGGCCGGGTGGCGGCATTACATTCAGTGTCAGTGACGGCACCATAAGAGGCAACTACACACTTCACCGCTCGCATCTGGTAGCCTGGTCCACATGAGGTAGTGCACTGGGTTCAAAGAGGGAAAAAAAAATAAGTGGGAGGGGAAAATTAGCAAAAGCGAGCCAAAGAGAAAACGGAGAAATAGGCGAGGAAAGCAAACAAAGATCTGACAGTTCAACTGAGGCCAAACACTCCCACACGCTAACAAATAAAAACTGTCAACCGGGGTAAGCAAATAAAAATCCTTTACCCCGCCACTTCCCCGACAAACATCCTTGGATCCAAATTTCAACCAGACACAAGTTTCAAAGATCAAATACAAAAGTAACCTCTGCTAATATACATTGCACTTGTCCTTTTTCCACTGTAACCAGTCAGATGGGGAACCGCCCCACTCTCCCTTCTGCCTCACTGCCTCCAATGAAACAAGGTCAAACTTGTGTGGCGGCACCTTCAACTACTATCGGACAACGCTCCATTAAACAACTTCAAATATACCTTAACGTGCGCACATCCTCTGATGGGGGGGGGGGGGGGCACACAAATATCTCACATTTTTTGTGTTCAGCTCAATGTGCACACACACAAATGAGACCGAGGCTGCAAACACAGACATTATATACTGTATGCATAACACTATATAATGCTTTGTAGGAGTACGCGCCTGCCTACATCAACCGTAGCTTTTGCATATTTGCCCGGTGTCTAAAGAGGCGAGAGAAAGGGGACAGTGGGGACTATGTGATGACCTTAATGTATTCACGTCTTCTCCTGGTTTACACCGGGGAGAATCACCAGTGAAGTAACAGTAACAGTGAACGATGGACTCATCAACGGATTAGACTTCTATACGTGAACTGTGGATCAGGATATCTGGAATAGTCTCTTCAATGCCTTGGAAAAAAAACACATTGAGCACAGATGTACCGCATTCAGATTATTGTATTTGATGAGGGCAACGGGCCAATCTCAAGAAAAGAAAACCTGATTTCACTTAAAGACTTTCCGGTTCAAGTTCCAATCATATAAACCATACAGAGCGATCTTCTGTTTCGCTTGTTCTAGAATATACATTTTGAATCTAATCCCACACATTAAGTACGTGTATCCCTTGATATCTGCATCCGCTATACCCTTACATCCGCATAAACTGTGCTGAAAACATGTGTTTGGATCCCAAATGATCCATTTTTGGACAACCTTGAACAGACCACTGTTAACACTCACCTGTCTCCACGGGCCGACCTGCCAAGAGGCGCACTCCTGCTGCTGGCACGTCTGCGCCGACTCCGGCTTCGATGAGCCACAAAAGCGGTCATCTAAACGGTCCTCGCCAAACTGACACCACGTCTGACGGTGCTTATAGCCTTTCCCGCATGTCACAAGGCACTGAAAGTAAAATATTTCCGGTTGTAAAGACAGATATTTGTGCACTTCATAACACGGACAGTGGTGGTTACCAGTCGCTGAGCCTGCCGGACCTCAGTTCCCAGCAGAGGAAGATCAGCTGGTGGTGTTGAATGCAGGATATGCGAATTACTAAACTATTTGCAGTTGGAAGGAACCAGAAGACCATAGACCGGAGTGTCTATTTATGTCTCACAGTGCATATGTAAACATTGCATGTAGGTTTTTGTATTTACTAGCACCACAGAGGAGAACTGAAATACTCCTGGAATGCAACCCAAAGCTTTTCAAGCTCCTTTCTCTATGTGTAAACTGTGCAGCAGTTAAATACAATCTTACCCTGCAATCAGTTATTTCCCAACACTCACTATGGTGGAAGGAGGGAAGTAACTCCCCAAAGCTGAGACAGGCACAACCAACACTGGGAATCTACAGTTGACCCAGATCACTGCTGGCTGAAAACTACAGTATTTACTCTGTTTCTCTTTACATTGACTAAACCCTACTCCGTAGACCCTAATATGTCATAATATGCCAATATGTATTATTCATTTCTCCTCTCGTCCAATAATTACACCTAATGATTTCATTGGACGATCCTGACCACCCTCAGCCACAGATTATTTTATCTTATTTTGGCAAAGCATTTTATTTATTAATCGCAGGTCAGGATGTAATAAAAATGTCAGATCCTAAATTTGACCATTAAATATTGGACTGGTCGTCCTCTGGGGGCAAAGAGAATACAATAGAAGCGGAACTGACCTCAGACCAGTCACCGGTCTTCCATTGTGGACAGAGGAATTCATTGCAGGGTTGGACGGTCGTCTTGTCCCTTTGACTGCATTTGCTCTCGTCGCCACCAGCCTCGGCTGCCTTTCGACAGCCTGCCCCTCGGCGGCGAGTGCCCCCGCCACAGCTCTTGGAACACTGCGGCACAAACGTTTGGAACTTCAGCCTCCGTAAACACGCAACCGCAGGAAGGAATTTGACAAACATCTGGATTATGCTCACGCACAAACCCCTCGCTTCCTTGCGACAGTCTCACCTCTGACCAAGGTGAGTACTCCCAGCCACCTGTGTTACAGTCTCCATGGCAACCTTCCTTGTCATCAGGTTTGTGCTGATTGCTACAGTAGCGGTCATCAACCTTCTGGGTTTTACCGTCTGCGCGGTTGATTTTGGCACAGTATATTTCCAGGGTACGGTATCCCAGGCCACACTGGGCTGTGCACTCGCTCTTACGAGCCACATCCCACCTTCATCGCGGGTGATAGAGAAAATCGTGTTTGTAAATGACCAAGTAACAAGAAAGTAATCTAATGGTTGAAAAAGGCCACTGGTAATACAAACCTTAGTTCACATTCAGTGTTGCAGGGCTCAGTGATGACAGCAGGCCTGGCTGTCCCATGACATCTCTGGTCTGACACCACCACCCTGTCTGACTCTCTGCTACAGAGAATCTTTCGTTTGCGTTCTCCTATGAAGAAATAATCATGCATGTTTGGGTAAATTCAAAATGTTTCTCTCATAATTTCTCAAAGACACTTTTTGTGAGGATGACCAGTGTTGACCAACGTAGTCGGGAAAGGGTTTTGTTTTGTATATTTATCCTTTTAAATCAACTCATCATGCCTCCTTTGTATGTTCTTCTTTCATGAGAAAGCCACGGAGGAACGTGCAGAAATGAAAGCCTGGCGATGCAATAGGGTCTCATAACATCTTCCTCAAATGAAACTGCCTGACCGCGGCTTCTGTAGGGTCGCAATGGCTACCAGCAGCAATGTGCTTCTCCTTGCCTCTTGTGCTGACATCGCTGCACTGAATCAAAAAGCACCGAGAGACTTAAACCTCATATGCTGCAGGAAATAGATTCTCTATCAGTACCTCATGTTACCGAGTTTTGCTATGAAAGCTTTGTGTGCCGCAGAATGCCAGGAAAGCTATATAAATCACAAAGATGCTGAGGGCACTACATGTCCACCAGTGTGACCCACCTGATGGGGTTTCTGTTCGGAATGTACTGTTGGTTGTTCAAGCAAGGCAGTGTCAAAAAGTGGAGAGCAAGATTCTCAGACAAAGTGTTTGAGTCATAAGACATAACAGGTTTTCGAGTTTACCTGCGATCCGCCTCTGCACGCCTACACACTCCGACATATTCAGGATCGTGTCAAAAAAGGCAATCTGACACAGTATACTATGAGGTCAAACATTAATAACTTGCTCCAAACCTATATGTTTAGCATGAAGCTGTCAAGTTTAGCCGGACAATCCCTCCTACGCCTCTGGCTCAGTGGTTCCCACGCCCCCCTCCCTATTTGTTGCATCTCCATCTTCACACTCAACACACCATTTATCCTTGACCACTCCCATCATCTCACGGTGCCAAACCCTTTTGCCTCCCCCTCACCTTGGCACAGGCGGCTGCACTCCTGCCAGGGCCCATAGACGTCCCAGAAGAACTGCTGAGGTTTGTCTTCTATTGGGATGTTAAAGGAGTACCTGACATCTGGGTTGTAAAGGTTCCCCACAGACAGCACCTGAGGAAAATGCGGGATCGTCTTTATGAATACCATCCCAGGTTTTCCACATCTTCCAAAGTACAAGCAATACTTTCAGAGGTCAAGTCTGTAGCATTAAAGTTGCTGCATACGTTTTACACACGACACTTGCTTTTAAATCATTGTCACTCTGCATCCCCTGCCTGGTATGCAAAGCCAACGGGATAAGGACAATTTACCTGGACGATTATCTCCTCTTCGATGCGGTCAGTGCAGTTGATCCTCTCAATGACATGGTCAGAGCCACTGTATTCAATGACGACATTTCCTACTTTGATTTCCCTTTTGAACATACTGACCACAAACTCTCCATTAAGCAGGAACCCTTCACGGTTATTTGATATGGCTGCAGAGAGAGAAAAAACAGTTTTGGGGTACTTGATGCCACTGTGGCTGAAAGCCAGATGGAGAAGTATTTTATGCTAAATCAAAATGTCCTTTGAAAAAAATTTACAAATGGGAAATATTTTTGCGAAAATGATCGTTCTTGTGACATTAACGACCTAACGTGAAGAGAATAATAGCTCGTGTTTTTACGTGACGCAGCAGCTTAGCAACAACGTGACTAGAATGTCAGGTACATGCAGAGGACAGAAGTTCAGTCTCATTGGGGTAATATAATCCTGGAGATGTCCAATGCAGATGTGAATCTGCTGCACTCATTCATCCTAATGCGATTATGGAGCTAATTCCCTCCCTTTCCTCACCATTTCACACATAACACTAATATGACTGTGAATAGCTGAGCTCATTCCGGCAAAAAGGACTGTGCCATACGCAAGTAGATATAAATACACATAAACACACCTCTGGTGACCTTGATGGAATGCTAACCAGCGGGCAATCTGGGTTCAAGTATTAGCATGTTCTTGGCAACAAGACATACGCGTGTTTGTGAAAAGCAGCCATGACTTGACATACAGGTAAATGGTACGGAGGGACATACATTTACAAATGTAAGAAATTCTTTATGAATAAAATATGTACCAGCACATAGCTTGATAAAAGGCAGGAGACGATATTTAAGCAAAAAGAGGAAGTACAAAGAAAAGAAGTTTCTTTAATCCAAAGGTTGGAGGTCTTACCGAGGTAGTTGTCATCTTCTGGTTTCCCAGAGTAGCTGTGTTGACGCACATCTATATTTGTAGCACCACTGGGTATTCTTACCACATCATTATAGCCTGCGAATAGCATAAGTATTATGTTTAGATCATTACAGCACTCTAGGTCTGTGTCTATTCCAACGAGTGACACCTCCTCCCTATTTATACTGACATCCAAGCATACGGAAACATGTGTTAAAGCAATAAACAAGGGTTTTATACTCTGCTGAAGATGAAATGTTAGTGTAATACAAGAGGCTATAGCTCACCATAGTGGACGATGTTGAAGGTGCCTGCCACAGTTTTGCAGGAGGAGTTGTCCCCTCCGCACACGCCACACTTGTCCCTCCTGGCTTTGGAGTTCAGTACATGGTCACAGCCTGCTTGCTGCCCAGTGAAAATATATTATATTAAATAAGAAATTAGATAATGCCAGGAGTAATATAAATGTTGCTGATTGGAAAGGGAAAAAGAAGTAAAGTAGAAGAGAAGGTCGTAGAGCAGGAGAGAATATCAGAAGGTGGATAAAACAGCACAATATGCACATTTGTCGTTAATTAGTTAGTTGGCAAAACTTCAACACTGAAATATTAGGAGATGAACATCCTTCTACTTTGCCATTGTTCTTTAGTTATTGATGAACTACTGGTCTGAACTTAGTGAGTTATGGATATATTGCTGACACGTGTCTGTAATAAATTTCCTTTCAAACACGACACTAGAAATGGCATGAGCTCTGCCTGTCTTTGCCGGTTTTTGCTAAATCAATTTTGGATTTTGTTTAAAGGATAAAGAGCTTAGCTTAAGTTCCAAAGCATCCAAATCCACTTGCAAAGGCCAGGAAGCCAACTTACTGAACCCCAATGTAACCAAACACTGAGTGTGGTTCAGAGTGACGTGTACCTCCCAGTGCTTCTTTCCAAAAGCATATTGATGTTTGTTAGAAATCAAGTTTCAGAGACAACCGTATCCGTCTGGCTGGCATTAAACACGGTGGTTTGGCAAAGAATGACACGTTTAAAAAAAAATATTTACTGTAAAAATATGGAAAGGATTAAATCCACTCCATACAGTAAATGGAAAGAAAGGTCACCGTTCACATGTATTTGAACCACACCGCCGAGCGTTACTATGAATAAGCGACCTCACCCTGCACAGGCCCTGGACACAGATGTCATTGGTATCGGGTCCGCACGGCGTGCCATCAGTGACCCTGTCCCTGAGCTGATAGTAGGCCGTGCTGCCTGCCACCCTGCAGAACAACTTGCACCGATCCTTCATCAGAACTGACAAAGGAAGCGAGACAAGAGATGAACACGTGATGCGTTTCAACGTCAAACCTTACATCATTTGAGACAGAGTTGACAAAAGGAGCAGGCAGGATGTAAGTGACTGAGAAAATATGTATTCTCACTTCCGCTGTACTTGGGCACCCAGCGAACATTAGGAGGTAGACCATTGATGTTGAAGTGCCTGCCATCGAAAGCCGCACATTGCTCCTCCCTGAAGTCCTTCTTCTGCTTGGAGCAGGGCTCAGAATTACAGGAACGAAACTTCATTCGCCGACCCACACAATACATTCCTCCATTTCTGGGCCTGTAAGGACGATTGTGGAAGGGAACTAATTAAATGAATGAATATTTATATTTTAAATTCATCCTGTAGAAAGCATTTTTTTCCCCACAGATTCATAAATAAATGTTCTTACGTTGCGCCTTTAGCATTGTTCTCAGGTTCAAACTTCAAAATTCTCATCACGCCCGAATCCCAAACAAGAGGGCCTTTCTTGATGAACACAAGCTATGGAAAGAATTCCCTTGAGGAGGTTTGATCCATGCAACACTGCGTTTGGCAGCTAAGATGGAGACAAGGTCCACTAGGCAATGCGTGACTACAAAGGGAAGGACTGCTCACACGGGTCGGTTGCATTCGCGCACGGCCATCTTGATGCCTCCGCCGCATGTCCGAGAACAGGTACCAAAAGGGCTCCAAACTCCCCAGGCCCCCTCCACGGGTGTGGCGTCATGCTCTTTTGCGATACACAGGCCGTGTTTGCAATGCTGCGATGACAGAAAAGGGGAGAAAGAGGTCGGATCATTGAGGCGAGCAAGAATAGAAGCAGTAAGATAGAGGGAGGTAAAGGGGGGAAGGACAAGCAAAAGAAAGGAAGAGGAAGAGTCAAAAGGAAGAGGGTCGGACAGAGGGAGCACATGAAATGTCATCCGCGGAACTGGCAACACATCTATCTTCTCTCTCGTGCTTTGATGCTAATCTGGGAGAAATTACACAGTGAAGCAAATGGAAAGAATAAGAAGTGGAAAAAAGACTTTTCCAAACAGGATCTGGCTGGACAGAAGAAGAAAATGTCACACACATAGAATACATTGCAGCTCATAAGGATAATCTTACACTGTTCAACAAGCAGACTCCAGCTACAGTGTTTAGTCTGGTTTACTGCATATCATGGGATGAGAGGCTGGCGTAAACCTGACAGGGTTAGAACATGTGTGTGTGTGTGTGTGTGTGTGTGTGTGTGTGTGTGTATGTGTGTGCGTGTGCGTGCGTCTGAGCATCTTTAGACTTTATGTTCCTTTCATGTTTCCTTCAGGCTTAGTGGCAGGAAGCAAGGGGTTACTGAGAATGTCCTAATTAAAAGCTGCACTAAGACAGTCCTCCATCATTTACTACTTCATGCCACCTACTTATATGTCAGCCATTTTTAATTACTTGCGTTGGCATATGTGTTTAAGTGTTTGGAAACTTGTTTTCTTTTCTAAATGTCTGAATTAAAAAAAAAAAAACTTTTTTTATAGTCACGTGTCGTTTTATTTTACACCACATGTGTATTAAACCATAATGCAAAAGTGTAAAAACGTACCTTTCCAGGAGAGCAGTCAGTGCCGTCTGCCCACGGCATGTGCTGGGTTCTGCAGCCCCGCTGGGCGCCCTCTGGACTGGTGCACCACAGCCTGCGACACTGGGTCTGAGAAACACGCACACACAGCATTATCCCTGGGATTCCCATGAATTCCATGTTAACAACCCTGCTGCATACAACTCAAAGAATACATGGACTCCAGTTGGCCGACAGACTTTCGACCGCACATTACAATGTGTTTGCTGCATCATCCATTTTATTTACCAGGTGTTTCTCACCTAGTGGTTTACAGGACTTTACTGTCGGACCAGAAAACATGAGCCAAGAATTGATGTCCTGAAGACATTTCAGCCTGATTCCACCTTTCCTCAAAAACGTTTTCTTCAAGGAGTTATTAACAGAATTTATAGGTGATGAGATATAATTTTGTATACATCAATACTGGGTCTGTTAACATTAGTGCATTAATCTATGCGATTAATGCCTAGATTAATGCAACAAAATATTTTAACGTAGTTAACGTTCGTTTGTCTACTTACTTACTACTTACTTACTAAGTAAACCAGAAGTTGACCGTGGAAACAAAAAAGCCACTAGCTGCAGGCAGTCACACCAAGATGGCGAGAGCTTTTTGCATTGGAAGTAAAACAAACAGTGGTGCAACATACAGAGAACTGAGCAGAGGAATTACTCCACATGTTAAACAGAAGGGGGGTGAGTGTCAAACGGACCACCGCTAGGCTAAGCTAGCTGCTATGCTACTTCCAGCTCAACAGCCAACGTTACCCTCAAGGCACACAGTCTGCAGAGGACCACAACTGTGTCCTTTAAAGACGTGGTTTGAAAACGTTCGGGCTAAATGTGGGGACATTGTTGGCACACAGCCGTTAAATTATGGAGAGTCGCTAGTTAGAATTTTGCCTCTAAGATGATCAAATGTGTGTAGTTTTGTGTTTAAAATAACATTAACAATTAAACAGCAGTGTCTAAAATACACACTTTCTAAAGTGATTACTCATTACTTTTAATATTTAGTCTTTTGAAGAAAAACCAACATTCATTATAAACAACAATGTAACAACAAAAACAACATTTATTAATCGCACATTTCAAAATGTGCAATTAATGAATTTTGTTTAATCTATTAACAGCCCTAATAAATACAATTTGGTTTTGTTTGCTTGTTTCTCGGAAAGAACAATCGGTATGCTGTTTAATACAACTTTTAATGATCCAAGTTCAGCTGAGAATCTCAGCAGCACATGAGCATAAGACTGAGGCTTCCCTCAGAGACACCACATGCGCAACATGACAGTTTATATTTGCAAGCCGACTCCACTCACCATATAAGGGCACACCTGCGTTCCTTGCCCAAATATCAATTCACACTGTTTATTGACGTCGTATATCTGTCCAGGCAGCGGCTGCGAGAGACTGTGCGGCCGAGAAACGGGCTCGTCGAGTAGACACTCACCATATCCTGTGCTATTAAGAAATAAAAATAAAATGACTTAAAAAAAAAAAGGAAAAAAAAACAAGACACACAGACAGAAAGCAAACTCAGTACAGCCAATTCAATTTCTACATTTATATAGAACCCATACTGCACACCGCTCGCTATCTTGACAAGCTTCTGTTCATCTTCAGTCAGCTATATGTCGAAAGTGGTTCTCAAGATTCGGGGACGCAAAATTAATTATTTAATTTCCTCTAAATTAACGATAGTTTGTAAAACATGCAATCATTTCTTTGAGCACATAGAACTTTGTATATATTATTTGAAAATAAAACGTGCTGTTTGAGTGTTGCGACTAGAAAAACAACGTCTGCATAATGTAATCGGCGTGAATAAAACGGTGCGACATACTCGAGGAACTCTGTGATGTACTTCCTGCTACACTTGGACCACATCCAAGGGTTTGTGTTGTAGTTAAGTGTGGGAGCCATCACATGCTGCTGGATCTTGACACCGTCTTCCTTACACTTGTTACTATCGTCATGAGGCATGTTGAACCTGGCAGCGAGAGAACAGAAACACATGTACAGATGTCATAGAATATAGTTCACATCACGCTGATGTAATGCGGTTTAATGGTGATGATGCTCTCTATATCGCTTCTGGCTCAGACTTTTAATATGTTAGTGTTTTCTAAACCAGAATAAACCAGGCAGATTCTAAGCCCAAAATGCTATTTCATCTAACATTGATTATATAATAGCGGTGCCACTGGCTGATATTTGCTTTAAGGAAACCTTTTTCACGGCTGCAGCTAAAAATAATACAGCGCGCTCGTATTTTGTGCTTGTGGGGAATTTGGAATCAAACAAGCCCAATTGTGAATTATATGAACACTGGGCAGTCGACATGGCAGAAGCACAGTGAGCACAGGAGAGGCAATCCAGCTCCTGCAGGGAGAACAAATAGGATCCCCGTTGGTGGTGGACAGGTACCGCACCACACTGCCCACAGCCCCCCCCCCCCCCCCCGAGCTGCTCAGCTCCCCACCTGACAGGTACCAAACAACACTGAGCTCCAGGGCTAAGCAGTCGACAAGCATGTTGTCACCACTTGATGCGGATAAACGTGGGATTGAACAATCCCACCTTTTGTTTAGTGGCCAGAAGGAGTATTTGTTAGTAACGATGAGGGTTGTTAAGGTCCGTAACAGTCTCCGCTTTAGAAGGCTAACACCCCCCCACACCCACACTGCATGAAGTATATGATCAGAAACACACCAAAGCCACGGAAACAGTGGGAAAGCCAAAGAGAATGTTCCGATGGTGTGTTGTCCATTGACTGTACGCAGGATTCCTTGATCCCCATCTGCTGGTAAGGTATGCATGTGAATTCCTGATTCGTGAAAGCAAACCGTTCTCTAACCAGAAGGGATGGCAGTGTTAGAGGTAAAGAATCAGGGAAAACACGCTGTGCTTACACATGGCCAAGTTCATGGGCGATGGTGAATGCAGTGCTGAGTCCGTTGTCCTCGCTGATACTGCAACTCCTGTATGGATCACACACCGTCCCCAACTCTGCAAGTCCTTTACAACAACAACAACACAGTGTTCTTCTTTCAGGAACATGCGACTATCAACACCATGAATTAGTTTATGATTAAGAGCCTACGAGCAAGTTAAATAAACCCACAGAAAAGTATTTTACATACCTAAGGTGTCACACTTATCCCTCGCTCTGCAGATGTCCTCCCTGCCAAGACAATGGAGTCAAGGTCAATGGCACAGCACAAAAGAAGTACAATTGATCGGGTCCCCCTTATCTAAGTTGATTTTAAAACGGCAGTTCTTTTTGTCGACCATCTGGGACCCATTTGATGGTTTTGATGCAGCTGGTTCATACTGGTTACACCGCTTTTGATTGATGGGATATTTTGTTGGGAAAGAAATGCGATAGGTGGATGTTGCTCTTGCACCTGGTGATCAGGATAGCGGTGTCGTGATGGGATTGGTGGTTATCATCCAGGATGTTCTGGCTCTGCTGCCAAATGCAGAAGTTCTTTAAAGTGATCTGTGCATTAAATGAAATGTCTGGGCCATCCTGAGAACATACAAGACAAATGATCAGAGGTACACTTTGGGAAGTAGTACACCATATACTTAACGTGCACTTATTTGTGAGTGTAGAATAATTGAGTAGTTGACTAATTTAGCGGTCTCACCGACTCGTGGTTTATTATGACTAACTTTACAATCACAATGTTAATCAGATTGCCAACGCTGGGATCCTTGTAGATGGAAGATACCTGAATAAAGAAAACAATACATGAGCTCAATCGTGGAATTAAAACATCCTTCAAGACACGATATGTTTGGAATATTAGGATTAACCTGTAACCCAGGTGAAATGTGACACGGTTCATTTACTTTTGACTATCATGGGCGACCCTCCTGTAGATTACTACTACTAGTACTGTAGAAGTACTTTTGGTGAAATTTGGTTGATTGGAAGACATAGAGTTAGAGGTCAACTCAGCTTCCCCCTGAGGACCGTTGGCTCCCAGACGCCTGCGGAAACTACTATTTGAAGGGGCCGAGACTATGTGGTCTATGTGACATACCTGAACTTATTTTTGAACATTCATCAAAGCTGTCAGGTAGGCTCTACCTCAAGCTGCCCTCCTCCCCCTGACCGTTTGAAAGTGGTGTTTACCCCTGCCCTAGGCTGCCCCTTTCCATCCTGTGGCTCTCCTCCAAAGGCCGACTGACTGACTTTAGGTGGAGCAGAACAGGTACGTACATTTAGTGCCCAAATATGCACATATGCAGCTACTTTTTGGCCTGTATGTGCAGAGTATACAGACGCATAAACAACTTCCGTATCCCAGCAAACCACCTTCAGCATGCAAACATTCTCCACGTGCAGCCACGAAGGAACTTACTATGGACATTAATGTGAGTATGTAGTGCTGCAGGTTGCTGCCGTGATGCTCCACCATTTTGCTGTCGGCCACCAGCATGACTTCGACGAAGCGCGGGTAGGAGAGGAAGCGCTTTGATCTCCTGTGAGGTCCTGAGTCCCCGCTGCTATCGTTCGCCGGTCTGGAGCTGGCGCTCTCCGATCTGAGCAGAGCATTGGTGGCCAGGCCGGCGCTCAGTGACTCCACGTCATTGAACATGCCGGCGCTGACCGCGGTTCTTTTCCTAAGCTTCTTATATTTGTGTTTGTGTCCTACGGAGAGAAGTCAGGGGGGGTGGAGCATGTGTAAATACACAACGATGATAATAAGAAATACATTCAGTCAGAAAAACGGAAAAGGTATGAATACATGTGATGATGGTCAAGATAACACATTGCTGTATGTCTTTAAAGGTGGAGATGAATGAGGTGGGTATTGTTGAAATTAGCTGCTGTCTCTTTTGCTCTTCTGTTTATTGTTGCTCTCAGAGTGGGTTGACAAATGAACACTGCCTGGAATGCCTTGTATTCCTCTCTTCCTCCACTTTCAGAAGAGGGGAGAGAGGAGGGCAAAGAGTTCAGACTAGGTAAACCTGGCACCCAGCCATAAAGAAATGGAGCACATACTGCAGTGAGTGCAAACACCAAAAGGAAAAGTTCAACAACTGGCAGCAAAATCTCTGAATTAATTCAACGCTTATTTCAATGATGTCATGGCAACTAAACTGCCAAATGCTAGCCCTTTTTTTGGTTTCACATGCAGATTATCCTTTCTAAACCACGAGCAATGCACCGACACCTAAATAACAGTGAGCTGGACCACGTTACATTAGTGGATTTGTGGTCAGTATGGATGATTTATGGTTCAAAATATTTTTAAAATGTAATCCTCTTCCTAACTTCAAAGGTAATAATGATACTTAGAAGTAAAAGAATGAACCATCCTTGGCCACAAATAATAATAATAATAATTAATTTAATGTTCCTCCAGGATGTGATGTCACTCAAATATTGTATTACAGAATGGACAAAAAAATACACACAGAACACACACACACACACACATTGATATAAATAGTAAAGCCAAACATCTGCAGAAAGATGTCGAGCACAATGCGTAAATCTCTCCAGATTTCTTTTATTTTTTGTCAGTTTCAAGGGCATGACTATACAATTTCAAGGCAGTGGGTCGATCCAACTTTCTTATCAAAGAGGAAGAGGAAGTACAAGAGTCAACAGGAAGTGCAGCCAGTAAACCGAGATAGAATGATACAACAGTGAACTTCCAAATGCTGGAAAGCTCGCTCACAACTCTGCTGCAGCTGTAGGCGCTACAATGTGCAGCCTAAGACACGACACGTCAGCGAACTTAGATTCACACCACACTTTCACTTCAATTCCATCATACGCTGCTATTGGTCACATAGTGATATGTCTTTGTCATGTCACAATAGATGTACCATGTACTATACTACAACTGTAATGGCTCGATAAGCTCTGTTACTGTAACATAGTCAGTTTCTGTCACAGACTCGGGGCAACGTAATGATTGTGTCTGTTTATGTGGGAACCAATTTAAAAGGTTGCATAATGTGCAAACATAATGAATGGGAAATTCTGCAATCAAAACGCATCCTGTGAAAACACTCGGGAGCACAAGAACCAACCTCACACACGCTGTTTAGCATACAGCCCTTGGAGGGTCCACGCCAAGAAGCACTTGTGTGGTGTTAAACTAAAAAGGGGCCACTGCTCTCAAGTTCACTGCAGCCACCTCAGTGGTGAGGTCTGAATCACATCACATTCAGTAGCTGTGCATTACCCTTTTGTGTGTTTGTAAATGCGTAGAGACATTACAGTTGAGTTGTCTGTGTGGTCTAGAATGTGCAAAGTGGTGAGGTCCTTGTCTGCGTGAATGGCAAACACCATACCTGAAGTGTCGCAAGCTGAGTTCTCCACAGTGGTCTGTTTCGTGGATGCGCGCTTCCTGTATACAATATGAGGCTTTGTGTGTTCCTCTTCATAGTGTTCTCCTTGAAAGCTGTGAAGGGGCTCCACAAAATACTCCCCTTCTGGAGACCTGAAAGTGCCAAGCTGGGGGGCAGAAAAAGAATGCATTCCGTTAGTCTCGATCCATTTTCTGTAAATGCTCATTCCTTCACGGCGACAACATATGCAAACATGGGGAGTAACACTTGATCAAAATATTTAGGACAAGCAACAGCAGAATGGCGCTTATTCACTATTCATTAGAGAAAGTTAGCAATGTAGAGACCCGAGGGCTTTCATAAAAAGGTGAAATAAGTGCAATTTGCACGCATGTGATAATGGTCTCAAAACAAGAGAGAATGCATAATGGTGAGACATGTGATGCCTATCGGACTGAGATTGTATGTACTTGGCAAGCTTGCTGAAAGCTTTGTTATGTGTATTTCTCATTTCCAATTAGTGTGACTGCCCAACTTGGAGGTCTGTGATGCTTCAGATAAGGTACACGCCAACCCAAACACATTTTGCGTTTTGTTCATTAGCCGAGGAGAATCAGCAAGCCAGCTGATGCAAGCTTTGCACGATTACATTTGCATAAGTATTCAATTCTCCAGTTTGTGCAAAAACATGCAGCAAGTTGGATTGTTCTCGAGCAATGGGGTACAGGGAGAAGCTTCCTTATGTTCCCTTGTGCAAGACACTATTCCCATTACTATAGTAGGACCGGTTGCACTTTGAGTGACCCGGGCAGTTGGCAAAGAAAGGAAGAATCTCCCTACTAGTTCCCAGAATGAAAACAGCTAACACAAGTGTTTAGGATGTACTGAAATGTCGACAATCAGTTTTATTATTACAAATGCCCCCTGCGGCATCTTAAATAAACTTACGCCGAATAAATTTCAATTCAAGTCCCTAAAGCTCAGTGCATTCAGAGCGTTTCAATATTGTAGTTGTCATTCTGGGGGGGGGGGGGCGGACAGACCGCCTCTTCAGTCAAGTCAGATCTCTTATTTCACTGAGTGCACTTTTGCTCCAGTCCAAAACGCATGGCTGGGAGCGGAACCAATGTGTGATGACGTCGGTACCACCCGTACTCCCGCTCTACTAGCGTGCGTAAAGACGTCACCGACAACCGGGAGACCAGAACCAGGCGAGGGGGATTCAGAGCACTTGGCTGAAGGCGATTTATTTGGCATCTGTTTCAACTTCACTCGGACTAAAATTAGTTTGAGACTGGGATATGAACAACTTTTGAATTATGTCCTAAATACAGACATGCCGATAATCGCAACATGGCTCCTTGGGTTTTGTATTTGCACGATCACAGTTTGCACTGACGGTGTGTTTACTTTCTTTGATTTAGAAGTCTTGTGTAGGCAATGACTGCCCCTGAATACCCACGGTGGGAAAGTAGAGCCCGGTCGTAAAGTCGTCCCGTGCACGACGTGTCTAACCGTGCGTAAAAACTCACCAGTCCGGAGCACAAACTGATGACTGCTGCGTGTTCCGCTTGTGCATTTACAAGTCCTTTATAGAAGCAGTGCCTTAACTCCGTGTCCTCCTCCTCCTCCTTCTCCTCCACCTCCTCCTCCTCCTCTTCCTCTTCCCCATCTGTCGCAAAATCCGTTACGTTATCTCCTCGGGCCGCTCCGAGTACCGTCACAGTGTAGAGAGGTGCGATAAATCCAGAATCTAGCGTGAGGTTGAGGTGATAGTGCTCCCCGAAAGCAGATATCCTGTAGTGGACAGCCGGAGAGGCCCAGTGCTCCGCGGTATTCCCGGTGCTCTCGTCCAAGCTCCGTCTTTTCCTCATAAAGTGCACGCTGGTTGGAAACTTGTCCCCGGCTTCATTCACTCGCACCGGCGTTACAATCTCGTAAGCGCCGATCTCCTGCTTTACTGTGGGGGAGATGAGGGGGGGGGGACAAGGTGGGGGGAGGATAGCAATGCACTTAAGGATAAGTGCAAGGCTGTTTTGACATCACTGCAAGCAAATGACAGGCATTCGGTGAACTTCGGGTTCGTGTAGCTGAAGCCGCGGAGTCGCAAACTCATTCATTCTCCGCACTCGGTGTTAGAAGAAACGCATACTCTACCTGTGCTCGTATTCAAACGCAATTTGCCCGTGGACGCGACTACAGTCAATAAGTCGGGGAAGAGCAGGAACCCCCAGCCCCAGAAGAGCACATGCATGGTTGTCCGCGTTCAGGGGAGAGCGGCAGCCTGCGCTCCCTGTCGTAGTGCCGTATTCCTCCAGTCACTCCGGGCTCTCCGCCTCCGGTCCGCCTGCCACATCCAATTGGATCACCGTCGACTCTTCAGTAGATGGTCTCCGGCCGGGGAAGTGCTCTGCTGGGTCGTGGGTTCCTGGCGAGCATGCATACTGGAAGGGTGGAGGGGTGAGGGGGGTAGGGGGGTCTGGGGGTGTGGGGTGTGGGGGGCCGGCTGCTCCAACGGTCAACTGCGATGGGCTCCGTTGCGAGCCTGCGTGCAGCGGCGGCGGCTCTCTCTCTCTGTGTCTCTCTCTCTCTCTCTCTTTCTCTCTCTCTCTCTCTCTCTCCAGCGAGGGGCGGGATCAGCCAGGCAAAGGTACACTGCTGCTGTGAGAGGAAGCCGTGTGCTGTGCTGACCAGAGGGGTCGTGCAGATGCTGGGACGTGACCCGGTGACTGGCTTGTTCACTGGTCTTTTTGGGGGCTGTCGTATGCAAAGTTACCACCGGTCTGTAGAGGGGCCTTGCACAGCGACCAAAGACAGCCCCAATGAACCGACTTGATGAAGTACATAACTTTGTGGGGGGGGGGGGGGGGGTTATTTGCAAATGTGCAAGGCCACCATACAAATACTCACGTATTTCCAGTGGCTTTTGGTTAATCTGGTTTTAGACGTGTGGGCAGCAGCGCGGGGCGCAAAGCCGACCGGTGACCGCGACAGTGGGGTGGGCCCCATGTACGGAATGGCTGCCCCGGGGCAACAAGTGAGATGATCTGGGCATGTTCATGGGATCACATAGTGACAAAAAGCCAACTGGCAGCCAGCGTAGCCATATACAGCAGTGATTTGAGGTCTTAAGTAGGTGCTGGGGATAATGTGTAGGGATAATGTTAATGGTTTTATGAGCTGTGGTCTCCTGAACAATGCTACAGGCTGTATGGAAGCCTTTGTAGGTGCCCTTTTTATGTGGAGGATCAAGGATCGGGGCATCCAGTCTCCTCCAACCCCATTCATGCCCCCCCCCCATATGCATACATGCAGAGCAATCTGACCGAACACACAACTTGTTCTCCTCACTTTCTATCGTGTTTTTGCCCATAGACTCATTACAGATATATCGGTATTACTCCATATGTCACCCAATAAGTAACAGGACCAATATGGCAGCAAGTAAATTTGAGTTAGCTGAGGGATAGTGTTGCCCTTACATAGTTTTGTCCATCAGAGACCACAGAGAAGTATATTTTCAACTGCAAAATGTCCCGCTCAGTCCACTGAATGGTATCGGTCATTTAAAAAAACAAATATGAAAAATATAATGTTATGCGTTTAGGTTGAAGAAAGACATTTGCGGTACAAGGATAACAACATTAATGTCAGTCATATGAGTGGAAATATGACTTGCCTAATTGAGTTTTGTCCTTGAGTAATATGCATTTTTCATAGCAGCATTTAAAATTACAACTTGTACTGTCTAGGATTGCTGTATTCCAATTAAGTCTCCTCTGTAAATTGGGCTATTAAGTGAGGATAAACAATACATGCACACTGTAACTGGATAGCCTAAATGAAATGCGGCCACCAACATTTATTTAATTTTTTTATGAAATGTTCAATAAAACTACTACTAATGTGACAAAAAGTCATGTCCTGCATTTAAAGTTCAACAAAAATACACTGGTTAGTTTTTGACTGCCGTTCAGCATTACAGCCAGTAGTGCCACTAGTGGCTGTAAGCTACATCACAAAGGTCCTTCATCAATACGACATAATAAAACTCAAAATCATTTTACAGTGTGAGGGTACTCACCCCAAAGAGAAAAGTGGAGAGTTCTGAGTGGATTAAATCTTTTCAGCTGGGTTTTGTAGGCTCAAGTCACAAGGTTGGTAAGAGCGTTCAAATCTGGTCTCTTTATTATGAAGATCATCATTTTACAGAAGATTGTAAATTATTTTAAGAATTGCCTCAAACTACGTCCCAGTCATTTCTAAAGGAAAGACTCTTCATAGTCCATGAAAGTCATTAGCATCGCTGTCCTGACCTGCACTGTGTTGGCGTCCATGCCATCACTTCTTCGCAGCCACATAACTGTGATGTTTCCCCAGAAGACCTTCTGTGGTGATGAATGCTAACAGATGGCACTTTATGGCTCACCTGCACAATCAGCACACAGGCTGACTTGGATTTGTAGGCGCATACAGCAAACAAAAACATCATTCGAATTTCCTTCGATCTAAAAATATAAAGGGAGGATTCCTCTTGCCCTCTTGGTCCTTTGCAAAAAAAGCATCCCAAAAGCTTTGTTGCCCCTGTCATTATGGTCATTAGATGGGCAGGGCTGTGGTGTTGTAAAGAGTTGTAATAACTTTTTCAGAGAGACGATTATTTCTATAAATTTCACACCAATAATCATGACTTCTGCTGTTCACAAAACCACCACCAAAACAGACATGGCCCACCCTGTAATTTGCACTGTTACACGTATTTCCCAGTACCGTTGAACTAATTAGGTGTTACCTTAAGGTTATTAAAAATGTTAGCATTTGAAGTCAGCTGTTACAATCAATGACACTGTCGTCAGAATGACTTCCACACCTACTTACCTTTGCACAAGAGCTGGTTTTCCCATTATTTGGAAAATCTTTCTCGGGGTTCAGCAAAAAACCTCAACATGGGCAGCTGCAGGTCACAAATCCCTTTAAACTCAACCTTTCAATCACAATTTGTCCCGTTTCCCAGAACTCTCCATAAACCATTTTTACAGCACAGAGGTCATAGATAAGTAAAAACAGTTGGGACAAATTGCCCTGTTTTGATGTGCAGGGACTACAACATGGACGGGTAATCCTTAAACAGGTTGTTGTAGTCCCTGTATAGTTTCTACTGAGACCCTTTTATTTTTAATGAGTACTGAATAGCACTTTGACTCCACGAGGCCAGCACCGACATGTGGCGTGAGTGTGTGTTAACAAGAGGGACTCCTCCACGCCGCCTCTGACCGCGGCATGTGGCCACCATCTTCAGTCAACTGACCTTTTGCCATCTTTCTCAATGGAGCGGTCATCAAGGTCATCAGAGACACCCTTCCTGAGTTGTGCGTAGGCACCATCATTCAGAGCAGCTATCAGCAGAGTAAACTCCACTTCCCCTCTAGATCAGATAATAGGCCGTTAGGGAGCGGAAAGCTTGAATGGAGTAGCAAAGCCTCGCCTGCGGTTTCAAAGAGATGCAGCTTTAAAAATCTCCCCACTCAAACTGTCTCGGTCCGGTGAACGTGTCTTCGTTATGAGGCAGCAATATCCATTTGTAGAGATTTGGAAAGTGCACAAGCACTTTTTTAAATGGAGATACTTAAAGCCAGATGTGTTGCAGTACAACAGAGAATGGAGACTATACAGTGCACACTACCCGAGTAAAATTTGATGTGCCACGCTAGCAGCTCTGTGAGGCTGAAGTACGTCTGTGCTTTGATATAAATCAGCATACTAACATCCTCACAATGATAACGCTACCATTTAGAAAGCTCATATTTAGCTGATTAACACAGGAAAACCAAAGATGATAATAAATGAAGCGAACTAATGTATCACCCATGGAGCCTGTGGCGACCATCAATGTCTGCTGAAGAATGCATTAGAATCCATTGACAAAGCCGCACGGACACACATGCAGATGTGCACACATGTTCCGACACCAAGCTAAGTCACGTGGCCGCACTCTGCTAATGGCAGCAGGTGATGAGAGCTCCAACAGGGTGGGCAGTCATGCTGTGAATGGGCTCTCAGGATGGTCAGGGGCAAGTTAACGCTGAGGTCAGAGCTGAGTGAAAACAACGCTCAACATCTGAAGCGCAATTGGGCCATTGGAGGAGCTTTCACAGACTACAAGATAGGGGTCTGGACTCTGCCCAAGTCGAACAGCAGCTGTCAGCGGGGCCCTCCAAAATCAGAATGCTTCCCAGATTCTTTGGCTCTCTGTGGAATGGCAACAATAGACTTCATGCCAGAGGCCAAATTAATCAGGGACCAGGTTAAAGAGAGCGGAGATGGAAGAAGTCATTAGAGGTTTAGCGTAGCCTTGCCTGCATACTAGTGTGACATGACGAATGCTAATTACACACTCAAGGCTAGTTCCAAAAAGCTGTGAGTGATTCCACAAACTCTTTTGTTTACAGAAGAGTTTGCTGAGTGATTCCAACTCTCTCCACTAACGCTTTGAGAAAAGGCTGGTATTCTTTCATGACATGGTGATGTTGAGTGCACTTGGAAAAGGAGAGGGGCTGCAATGGATGGGGGTATAGCTGTGGTGTGAGGTGTGCAGTCCTTCTCTCCCGATCTGGCTCGCCTCAACAGGGATGATTTCTGTGTAGTGGCGATCTTGCTTCTCGGCATCCCGATGTCATCGCTCTGCACTCTGTCCCCAGCACGTCCACTTATAGCCAACAATAGGACAGTACGATGACCTAGTCACGCTCAGCTGCAATAGAGAGTGGGGGAAAATGATGTTGTGTCTCCCTTTAACCACCTGGCTGTGTGCTTGGACACAGCACCTCTGGGAGAGGGAAGGAGTGGCTGCACAAGGGGGGGTCTGATTATCCCCCCTGCTGAAAACATATGTTTGTCTAAAGGGTCCGCCTTGAATACAACATGCAGTGTCTTTGAGTTCCTTCGCTCCAGCGCTTGCATGCGGTATCAGAGAGGCGTGTTTAATGGGTGAGGTTATTATAGACTTATTCACATATGAAAACCCACATTTCATCCAAAACACATGGGCTTTTTCACCACAACCTGGTTTTCATGCGTGGACATGTGGAATTTCGCATGCAATTGAAAGGAACATTGCCTCTTCGTATGTCAATAGAATGGTAGCATAATATATACCTTCAATTTAAATATACATATACATACTGTATATATATACAGTAAATATTTTGGGAGACCATTTTTCCTGTTTCCCTATTGATTGAAACTTGATCCGACAACTGTGTTCACTGTACCACAGTTCTAGTTATAGAGCCGGGATCCTTACATACTCACTGTTTCATCACTGTTTCTCCTGTGCTCCATCCACCCCTTTGTCCTATTAGATATAGTTTAGTGTTCTGGGTCAAGGACTCTTTTTAATGGCTGTCAAGCCTTGTAGAATAGGCTGGCCCGGGTCCCGCTGGCAGGGCCGCTGTTTAAATGGGTCGCCTGAGGCCGAGAGGAGCCAGCGAGCTCA